ACAATGCGAACACCCAGGAGAGCATGTCCCATGTCCCATGTCCCACTATATGCTTACCACAGCCAGCATTTCGGCGCGGGAGATCCGGCCGTCTCCGTCCACGTCGTAGAGAGCGAACACCCAGGAGAGCTTCGTGTCCCATGTCCCATGTCCCATGTTATGCTTACCACAGCCAGCATTTCGGCGCGGGAGATCCGGCCGTCTCCGTCCACGTCGTAGAGAGCGAACACCCAGGAGAGCTTCGTGTCCCATGTCCCATGTCCCATGTTATGCTTACCACAGCCAGCATTTCAGCGCGGGAGATGCGGCCGTCGCCGTCCTCGTCGTACAATGCGAACACCCAGGAGAGCTTCTCATGTCCCATGTCCCATGTCTCATGTCCCATGTCATGCTTACCACAGCCAGCATTTCGGCGCGGGAGATCCGGCCGTCTCCATCGACGTCATACAGAGCGAACACCCAGGAGAGCTTTTCCTGCACCGACCCTCGGGCTACGCGGGACAGGATCTCGAGGAACTCCTGGAAGATGATAAGGTGACGAAAGTTAGTACCTTGACCTCCTTTCGGTTTGACCCTTTCTGTTACTCCCTGTATATACCTATCCCTTGCGGGATAGACAGCATAAACAGCCATTTACACCACATCTGACAAAAGTTTGGGAATTATTCAAAACACTGTACCACCATAGTGGTGGGCAAAAATTGCAGTATCTACATATCGACTCTCAAATCCCTACGCGCTTCTTACGACACCCACAGGAAATATAAGGGGTGATGCTATTCTAAGCTGGCACCATACGGAAAATTATAGATACTGTCGACCCAAAATTGCGGTCTATCTATTCCTGTGAATAGGCCTATGTCCAGCAGTGGACGTGGAAATGTTGATGATGATGATGAGAAACTAACCTCAAAGTTGACCTTCCCGCTCTGCTTGTGTTTGATAGTGTTGAATACGTAGTGCGCGTACTGAGATGCATCTGCAAATAAGTACGTAGTATTTAAAATATTTATACACTTAATATAACTGTAAAAGGTCGGTGCAAAAAACAAAACAATAGCGCGTTTTAGAAAACCTGCAGCGACATCTATCGACATTTTATGTCGTCTGTTTTTCAGTTTATCTGTTTGAATGTTATTAATAATCTTAACGGGGCCTTAAGGTGGGTCTCAATTCAAATTTGTTTACCGTACCTACGAGTCAAACAAGATAAGTGAATCCCGGATAAGCTGTTTTTCAGTTTATCTGTTTGAATGTTATTAATAATCTTAACATGGCCTTTAGGTGGGTCTCAATTCAAAGTTTACCGTACCTACGAGTCAAACATGATAAGTTTGGTCAGGAATCCCGGATAAGGTAACCGCTTTGATCCGGATCGATCCAGTTGCGGTTAGAGGGTAAAAGTAAAAGGTCCAATCTTTAAGGGTCCAATCGACCCACTATCCGATTGAGGGACTGTTAGTGGGAGGTAATTCTTAAACTTTGCACATCGAGCTATTAGAAAGATAAACACGGGATAAAGGCAAAGCCGTCAAAATTGAATTGAACCTTGACTTGCCCTGGTTCATTTTTGATTCATTTTCTCATTCAAATTCAATAAGATCGAATTCGCGTAACATTATCATGTATGACTTGGATATCTTATCTAAGGTAGGGGAGAGGGGGGCAGCTTTATACAGAATTTACCAAACAGGTTGTAACTTTCAAAATGGATAACTTTCTCTATATTTTTGTGCATGGTGTATTGGGTAGCTTTTCTGGGAAGATAAAACCTATATTAATGTTTAAATAGCTTTAGGTACACCAAAATGTGCTACGCCGGTTTTTCTACAGGCGCGGAAATCGTTAAAAGCAAGATTTGAACAAGCCTGGGGCACTTTTGAACAAAAAAAATAAAAATTCTTTATTAATATCCGACATAAAGCTTAGACTAGGGTAAGCATAAAATAACAAATATTCTTAGAGAAAACTTATGTCTAAGTAGTAAAACTACAATTAACCAGAAGACCCCAAACTAGGCGTTGCCTGTATCTTGGGAAACCATTTTACATTGGATATCCGAATTTTCTTATTATCTATCTTATTCTAATATAAAACATTAATCTACTACTAATAGTTTATAACTGTTTCTATTTGATATTTTTAACAGCGAAGTATGTATATTTCTTGCATTCTTAGTGTGTTTCACTTCAATTTCAGCTTTATCTTACTTACGTGAACAATGCTTATGATTTTATCGATATAATTTTTGACCACATAAGACTCAGTATTTTTTGATCTAATAAATGTTTTTAAACGAAATTACTAAAAAACAAAACAATTAGACGTAGCAAAACGATTATAAATATTATCAATCCCTTATTTGAACCTAATTTTTAAAATATTTTTTGTGCAACTTTGTATGTTCAAATGTGCCCTACAAAATTTATTCAAAGCTGCCCCAAGCATATCTTATGGCTTACATTATTAGAATTTTTAAATTGCATTTACTCTAATAATTTAAATAATAACTGAAATGGACGTAGAAATAAACACAAATTAGGATAAAAATACGCGTGAATCCGCCAAAACTAAGTATAACCAGAAAAACCCTTACAATTTTTGAAAAAAATGTGCATCGAACACATCCAAAAACAAAAACAGCAAATAACATCCGCGTTTTTTGTTGACTTTGTAAAATTGTCGATGACAGGGATGCTGACAGTTGTAAACATTAAACTAAAGCCCTTTCCATTGTTATTGCATAAAACACGCAGACAGTATTTAGCTTGTTCATAACTGCCCCTGGGCAAAGCCGCCCCCCTCTCCCCTATGACCATTGATAGCTCGTTTTATTATGATCATCATGATACACTGGTATCACCCTGGAAACCTCAAATTCACTTATAGTGTTGACACTTTCAAACAAATATTAGCCTTTTGGGTCTGACATCAATAATTTGACCATTTAGGTGTTGTGTTTGTGTATTCAAGTAATCTTACCTCCAAGGGGGAAGAACTGGGAGAAGATGTGCTTGAAAGCATCCTCGTCAACTACCCCGGATGGACACTCCTGAAACAGAAAAGAAATGATTATAGTACCCTCGTTTGAGAGACACCATTTTATTATTTTGGTGGAGAATTTATCAGCAAAAAGATTAGCTGTCAACTGTTAACAATTGTTTCCAGGTCATCTGCTACTGGGTGAGCTAGCCCTGGGTCAGCAGTCATCTGTAAATAGGTGTGTTGGGACTAGGTCAGTTGAGACTACCATCATCACATCAGGGACTAGGTCAGCTCAAACTAGGTCAACAGGGACTGGGAATTCTAGGACTGTGTGTGTTGGGACAGGGTGAGCTGGGATTGGGTCATCTTATTTGTGACTGGGTCAACTGGAACTGGATCAGTTGGTATTGGGGCAGATGAGACATGGGTATATGGGACCGGGTCAGTTGAGACTGCATCACCTGGGACTGGGCGGACTAGCACTGGGTTAGCTGTGACTAGGTGTGCTGGGATTTCGACTTCTGGAACTGGGTCATCTGGGACTACTGGGCCAACGGGGATTGGGAATTCCGGGAGTGGGTATGTTGGGACCTGGTCTTCTGGGACTGGGTCATCTGGAACTCGGTGGTAGCACCTACCTGCTTGAACCCTCGGTACATGAGTTTGATCTCGTGGGGCGTGAACCTGGTACTCTTGGCCAGCGCGCCGAGCGCCTCCGGACGGTGCCGCGCGCTGCCCATGCTCGCATACTCCTCGATTTCCTCCTCTGTGGACAACGGAAAACATCATCATCATCATCATCATCATCATCATTATCATCATCTTCCTGCCCTTAACCCAATTACTTTTGAACACAAAATCATGTTGCAATAGGATTTGGCTTAATTTTACGACCGGCCGCCTGCCTGACGTCAACTGCCTTTGGGAATGCTATCGGGACAAGGGAAAACTCTATGAGGATTTCTGGATACCAAGCTTTACAAACATAATTTTTTACCAAATTTGTTTTTAATACAAATATTAATACAAACATAATTTAATTATGTATTGGGATTGTAATATTTAAATGCACTCACAGTGCTAAATAAACATTGTATGGAAGATATGTTACGTGTAAAGAAAAGAAAAGAAACGCGCCAACCTGTGACACGCGCGGGAACTCCCGTAGGTTTTCATACCTACTAAAAGGTCAGCAAAGGTACTTGATAAATAAGAGAACTTTGTAGTTTTCCCACAAATCCCACATTATCAGCCATGTGGCATGAATCAGCTTTGTCGAAAATACTTTCCCCATGACACAAAGGTCGAACTAGAAAACAAAATTTGGATCTCCCATACTAAATCGCTGATCGATTGATGGGAGGGACAATTTTTTTTTTCATATTTATGAGTTTACGCTTGTTATTATAATTTTCATTATTCCCTGTATTTGATAAATTACCTACAAGTTGGTCTATAAGAGACGCATTAGCTTGACAACGACAAGATGAATAGCTTGTGCGTGACGGGCTAAGAAATGGGCGAGAAACACACGTAATAGTACGTATGAATTCCCAATGAACTATGTGAGTTTCCGCGCGTGTTGCAGGTTGGCCCCGCCTTTGTAATTAATCTTAAGGCTATTCTTTGCCAAAAAGCCTTAGCAAGACCTACCTACAAAACTTATGCGCGAGAACTCTCATTTAGACGTTCAAGCGTACTATAATAACGTCTATAGTACCTACCGTCATTCGAATAGGCCATATTTGACAGCTGTTAAAATCATTCAATGCTATGACATAAGGTCAATTTTTTTGTTGACATGTTTCCTAGTATGGGTTTGACAGCTGTCAAATATGACCTATTCGAATGACGGTGCTATAGTCCGTTTGGTTTGTGCATTGTTTTTTTGTACTGCGTAACGTACGCGCCAGTACACTGACGAAATTAAAGTTAAAAATTACGTTATCGATAGAGTTTTAGAAATAAGTCTGTAATCTTAAATTGAAAATGAGATATTCATCAGGGTCCGGTAGGCGCCCGAGCTCAGTTGGCAGAGCGGTGGGACAGTACCCCACGGTCCCGGGTTCAAGTCCCGGCGGTCGCAATGGAATTTTTCAAGTTTATCATTTGTGAGTGCAATAAAAATCCCAAGTCAGTTCAGTTTCTAATTAACAAGAGCCTTATGTAATTTCGTAATAAGCAATTCATTCTAACGTTATCAAGACGTCAGCACATCTTAACAGAAGACTTTAATTTAGAGGTACATGCAAGCTAATTAAGGGCGCGCCTTGTGAAGTGGAGCCATCTAATTTATGATCAAGTTTGCCCTTAATAATGTGTCAGCTACGAACAAGTTGCTTGATTAAACCGAGTTATTGCCACACTAGTTTCCGCCCGTGGTTTTAGGTACATAATTATATTTATTATTATTTATTTATTATTATGGACTTCTACCCATCTAGGGTAATTCTGCCAGTGTCAGTATAATAAGATTCCAGCGCTGCTGCGCTGAACATTTGTATTATTATTTTTGTAGCAAAGTAGTGAAGTGTCTCTATTTATGTATTACAAACAAAAATGTCTTATAAATTAAGTTTATATTTTTCTGAAACACCTCTCGACAATTTGTCAGAAGTGACGCTAGCAGCCGTATTTTTGCATCCGTTAACGCTCTGCCAACCCCACATGGGACTAAGACATCATATTTGTTGGTATTAATGTGTATGTGATATTTAAATGTTCTACGGATGGTATCTTTTGTAAGTATCTCGGTAACTCACTGTGTTAGTATTTAGCATAAGAGGGTGCTAATTTTAATGCATGCCATAGCTTCAGGGCACGTTTAGTATTGATAAAAGATGCCGTAAAAATATTGAAATTATAGTCTAGGCATTTTTTTAAGTTTGTCGAAACTTTTAAGTCTCACAATTTTTTGGAAAAATATTTATTTTTACACTTGTGTCGCTTAGAGAGTGCCAGTAAAAAGTACTTTCGTATAATCAACTTTAAGTCTGAACAAATCTTAGCTGAGTTACGTAGGCATTTGAATCAAATTTCGGTGCAAAAAAGAACTGCTTTATTCAGAAATAAAAAAAATATTTATTACGGCATTCTTTATCAATAGGTACTAAGTAAATCTACCCTGAAGCTAAGGCACGCATTAAAATTAACTCCCTGTATTTAGTACTTATTCTTTGGTATCAGTACCAAAGGTTACTTTTAAAATTCATGCCAACAAAAAAAGAGACCCCGGGGCGGTAAGCTAGTAAACATATTTTTTGTACCCCTTAACCCGCGCCATTTCTCTTTAAAAAGCTCTTCACATCGTATGAAAAGATTTGGAGAGATTCATTTCCTTTTCAAAAGCAACATTCAAAGAGTTGAGTTGAATCACTTTCTCTCTGAATACAACCTACAGATAAACATCAAAAGAAATAACTCTGAAAGAAGTTTAGTCTGTGGTTCTATAAGTTATTTTTAGTTTTATCTATGTTAAGGTGAAACATCACGTCATACAAACCATACAAACGAAAAAATTAACTTCATCGACTTAAACATGAGTTGCAGGTTATTCAATCGACTTAAACATGAGTTTTAGGGCAAGTTTTTCAAAAAATCTTTACGTGAAAACATAAAAGCACGCGTTTTGTCGCTAAACTGTTTATGGTCAATAGATAATAAGGAATTAAAAAAAGAAGTCTGTTTTCATAAAGTGGCGAATCTGTTTTACAGGGAAATCTGATTGTAAAAAAAATGCGAAAATTTTATAAAAACACGGTACTTTCCCTCAAATTTTTTTAAACATATTTTTGTCTCCTTTACAGACGTTAGTCTATTTAACTTAATATAAGGGAAGTGACCCACTTTAAGTATGTAGGTAATGTACCGAATAATTATGCACCCTGTAGCAAAAAGGTGAAATGCACAGTTAACATCGCTTTGCTCAGTGATATTGGCGAACGTTGGGAATGATTCCACTGGAGAAAGTAAAAAATTACATCCACTAGCCTTTAGACGCATAATGTACGATTCGCAAAATGTAAACTCATCGCACAATGTTGTTTTCGCACAATGACGCTTCCATGTCAAGTTTGGAGTCTTCTATGTCTTTTTTTGGAACGGAAAATCCAATCTTTTGGTGCTACTTTTGGTCTTTGGGGAAAGTTATTCAGTTTAACCTTTTGAGCTTAGCGTTTTCGGGGAAGTCAGACGTTTGGTACCACCAGTTAAGTAGGTACATTAAAAAAAATAAGACACCAAAAGATGTCTGTGTCTGTGGTTAAAAAAGTTTTTTTTAAAGGCCAAGGCCACGCACGAACGTCATACCACAAAATAGATAGCCTACAAATATAACTTCTTGCGAAACTGCAAAATAAACATCAAAAGAAACTAAAAGAAATATGAAAGAAGTTTTTTAGTACCATTATGAACAATTTAACACCTCCCTTGGCAGACGAATTGGCGAGCGCAGTAGATACAAGATATTTTTCACAGAAACGCTGCTGCCCATTCCCTGGATATATCTCTGTAGTCTTTCACGACACCAACGGGTAGAAATGGGGTGGTGCTATTCTAATCCGGTACTACACGGCATAATCTGCCACGACGATCATCAACATCAGTAGTTTAGGCCATTAGGCCGTAAAATGTTTCCAGCAATTTTATAGCGGATGAAATTTTACTAGCGACCGATAGCAAAAATGCAGGACAGGCTGGTGGGGAGATAAGGAATAACTTTCCCCAAACATATAGGTCGAAGTGATGCATTTTCGGCGTCGGTCATAGGAAAATTTCAGAACCTACCTAGTGATACGTAGCTTTAAAAATGATTCAAGGCACTTATTTATCCAAGAAAGTCCGCTATCATAGTGTCATTATTACCAGCCTAAGCGGAAGACCAAGTTATTCTGGTCGCGTAGTACAAGACATACAGCCTGACCACGCTAAGTTGAACGATGAAAACAAAAGAGTAGCGATGCAGTTTTCGCGGAGCTAACCCGAAAATCGGTAGTACCGGTTTCAGCCCTCTTCTACCGATTGTAACACAAATTATTCAAGTCACAAAAAGAAATAAAAATAGAGATGTTTGGCATATAGATTGCATTAACCATGTCTTTACACTTATTATTATGCAAAAAAATCAAAGAATATTTTTCAATTGAATTTTCTAATCTGCGGTGTTTTGTTTTCGAAATATTAGATAGACTAAATAACAATTTGAATTTAAACAAGCATATTCTTTGGTAAAAATGTGAATCTTCCAAATCTACCGGTTTATTGTGTTAATAAACCGGTACCTACCGATTTACGATTTGGACAACGTTTTTGAAGATTTTTGACATAATCATCAGGCTCTTTTTCCACTACTCCGATCCGTAACCGGAAGTCGGATATAGCCATCCGAAAAATATCGGAAATCCGGTCACCGCTTTCCCACCTATCCGGTAAAAAACGGACAGTAAAATTTTATTATCTCGGCGGACTCGGACTCGGACAGACGACATGGTAGAATGTAAAATTGTTTAAAAGCATGCATAATTTTTGTACCAATACCAATTGTTCGGGAAATTACCGTTTCGATTAAATCCGGATACCGGTGTAGTGGAAAAGCGAGGATAGTATTTTAATAGATTTCTAAATCGGATCGGAAATTATCGCATACCGGATCGGAGTAGTGGAAAAAGAGCCTAAAATTGAATGTGCGGTAGCGATGGCAAAAAAATAATGACCCTCTTGATCGATATAATGAAGTAAAACAATATGGTGCACGCAATTTTCAAGTTATCTATCAATCTTTCGGCGTTCATTTTTTCTGTCCGTAATGTCAAAACCCCTAATAATGACACGTTTTCCAACTTCAGAAATTAGAATCTGTGGCACAAAATAGAGAGTTTACAGAAGCTTCAGCCGGCCCCATTTCGGATTTTCGCGATTGGCACTTTGTAGGTATGTTTTTTTTTATTTCTACCTACACTTCCCATCAGAAAAATCGAAACACCTCGGTTTTTCTTGTTTTTGGCCGAATTAAACACCAAAATGTATTGTTTGCATTAAAAAATTATATGACTGTGTAGCTGGCAGTTTTGTCTTTTCAGTGTGTATAAAAAAAAAACAATATTCAAAATTGGAACTCCACCTGTTTGTTCTGTAAATGAGATGAATGACTGAGACACGTTTGCAGTTTGCGCCTTTTAACGATTCATAGCATTTTTAACATTAAAATTTAGAGCTTGTCTTAGCTTATCTTAAAACTTTTGTTTTTTTAATTGTTTATTGTGACTTTGGATCGCCTGAAAAAAGTTAGATTTTATCTGAATCATGGGTATTTTGCCCGTAGAAGCCGCCCAAGTGGTGACATTGCCAAATTTTGGACTTGGTCGTCGTTTTGTGGCTGTATGTTTGCATTTAAGCCTCACCTCTGTTCATAAAGTTTACAAACGCTATCAAAAGACTGATCTGTTTACGCGACGTTCAGAATCTGACGGAAATCGGGTCAGCTCTGACCGATATGATCGAATTAATGTTATGAGTTCTTTGCAAAACCGACGCCTTAGCGCTTTTCAACTGCGGCAAAAGCTATCAAATGTACAAAAGGTGGCTGAAAGTGGCTCTTCAATCAGAATAAGGTTAAAGGTACTTTGACTGGTACCGCAATAGCCAGAAACGGGCCCAAATCAACTGCAGACACGAAGACAAAATCTGTCATGCCGTCGGCGCTGATTCCTTCCCAAACCTTTCACGAACTGTCACCATAACTGACCTTTTTATCAATGCAACATTGTGTAAAGCATTTTTAATCCTTTCTGTAAACCATAGTGCTTCCGTGGTTACCATTCAGCGTAATTCTACACTCAGCAGAAAAGAGGAATTTGATCCATTGGGTATACGACCAGTTTAGGTGCTCACTTGCAAAGTTAAAGCGCGCTATTTAATTGTCTTCAGTTGATTTGGGCCCTTTTTCTGGCTATTGCGGTACCAGTCTACGTTCCTTTCACCTTCTTCTGATTGTAGAGCCATTTTCAGCCACCTTTAATTGTACATTTGATAGCTTTTGCCGTAGTTGAAAAGCGCTAAGGCGTCGATTTTGCAAAGAACTCATAACAT